GGACGGTGGGACGTCCCGGGGAGCGTCGTTGTAGCGAGGCTGGTCGTCACGGCGCTGGGCGTTGTCACGGCGATCGTACCGCTCCACCCGGCGTTCGTACGGGCCGGGCGGCGGCGCGGCCGAGCGGTGGTCGACGTCACGTGTGTAGCCGGCGCCGCCGCGCTCCCGGTTATCGTAGTCGTTGAAGCGGTTTGTTTCGGGTGCACCACGGTGGAACTCGCCCTCGTATTGTCTCTTGGGCTCGCTCCAGTACGTGTCTCGCTCGCGGGGCGCCTCGAGCGCCCGTTTCAGCTGCCTGCGTTCCTCCTCCAGCTGGAGCTGCAGCCGCCGCGTTTCCTCGCGCTCCCGGGCGATCCTCTCCTGTTCTCGCGCTCGTTCCCGCTCGATCCGCATCCTCTCCCTCTCCAGCCGCTCTCTCTCCTGCTTCTCTCGTTCCAGTCGCTCTCTCTCGCGCTGGAGCCGCTCCCTCTCCCTCTGCAGTCTCTCTCGTTCCTCACGCTCCCGCTGGATGATCTCACGCTGTCGTTCCCTCTCCCGTCGCTCCCGTTCCACGCGTCGACGCTCCATCTCTCTTAGCTCGCGCTCTCGTTGTCTCTGACGCTCTCGCTCCCTCTGCTCTTTAATCTTATCGAACGACAGAATCTCGCCCTGCTTCTCCTTGCTGCCTTTCCGCGGCTGCTGACCGTCCTTCTCCTTGGACTTGGAGTCGCGCTTGTTGGAGTCTTTGACTGTGACGACAGGTTCTCCCTTCTTCTTGTCCATCACGACTGTCCGCGTTCCTTCCTTCCCGTCCTTGTCTGCTCCTTCCTTATCCGCAGACTCCTTGTCCTTTGAAGCTGCCAAGGAACAACAAAATTGTTAGGTCCATGAAAATAAAACATCCAGGTAATGAGATAGAAGAACACAGTTACTAAGCTACTGGATTGATTTTGAAAACTAATGAATAACACACACATAGTAACACAAAGAAGAGCATGCTTCTAAAACCCTACTGTACAATTTACATTTAAACAGGAGTAAGCTTATTTATGTCATCACATCCAGGTAATGAGATACACAAGAAAGAATGCAGTTACAGGCATATTTTGAAAAATATCAGAAATTGACAGTACAATTTAAGTTGAACTATAAGAGTAAGTTTTAATATTCAAGCATCCATAGCATCTAAGGTAATGCAGACATCTATATTTGAGAAGATGAGAAGACTTGAACATGTACAAGTACAAGTAGAGACGTCTATTTTACCTGGTGCCTTGTCTCCTGTACTACGGCGGCTCTGAGACCCTGAGCGTTTGTCCTCCTCCTTCTTCTCCTCCTTCTCATCTTTCTTATCTTCCGGTTTCTTCTCCGGCTCCTTCTTGTCCTTCTCGTGCGTCTTGGGTGCCGGTTTCCGGGCGTCGGCCGAAGGTTTCCGGGCAGAGCTGGACCGAAGGTCTCGTTTCTCGGGCTCCTTCTTCTCTGGAGGTTTCTTGGAGGAACTGGAAGGGTCGTTCTTAGCCTGGAAGGAACACAAGAAGGAAATTTTAGTTTACACTTGTGTTTACTGGTTTGAACATAGAAGTTTTATTATACATATGTAGGTACACATGTATTAGGGCTTTGCACCTTATATCTGTAGCAGTGTAGGTTTTTACTTGAGCATCTTGTTTTTCAGAACATTTCAGTCGTATGCTGGGGTGCTGTTGTTTCTAAATACACAGCTGTGAGGAAACAGTGATAAGGTTATCCAGTTTTAGCTCACTGAAAAGCTAATCTTCCACTGGTTGTGACACTCACAGAGAAGACAGACACTATGTACAGTATTTGTAGTGGTGAAATTCCCCTATCTCTTTTCAACAAGCACACAATTTCACAGGTTATGTCCTATCCTAAAGAGTGTGACCTTTTATATTAAGTGTACATGTCGGGTGCGCGACAACAGCCGGGATTCAAACTCCCAAACTCTTGGTCCCTGGACTACACATACTGTTAGCTTTATTTATTTGGCTGTTCAACCCTCACAGCCAGGACAGCGTAACTAGCCAGTGGCTATTACAAAGGGCTTGCCCTGCTGACAAGACATGACAAAACATTACGGTAACATATAAGGTGGCTTAACAATCTACAAAACTATGGACTAAAACTCACCCTCTCGACAGAGATCATGCGCCCATGCAGCTCAGTACGGTGGAGGTGTGTGATGCAGCGGGCAGCTTCTTCACTGGACGACATAGTCACAAACCCGTAGCATCGGGCACCTGGGCTGCGCGCGTTGGTCACCACTTTGGCTCCCACCACCTGCACATGGGCCAACATACATGAAGGTTAGACATCCAGATAGAACATTGTGATACAAAATAGATCATCTGAAAAGTTTAGTGTTTAGATACCATCCACCACTTTTTGTCAGTGATTGAGCAAGATTATTCTCTACATAGCATTCTCAGTTAATGATAATATCTGAAACATCAGTTCCTTGCTTATTAAGTTATTTTGTTTTACAAATTTGTGAACACCTTCCTAACAAAGGTCCCATAGGATATACTGGCTATTACTGATGAACAATTTCCATAACAAAGACCCCATAGGATATGCTGGTCTATACTGATGAACATTTTCCTCACAACAAAGACCCCATAGGATACACTGGTCATTCCTGCTGAACATTTTACCCCACAACAAAGACCCCATAGGACACCGTGTTTTCAGATGTGAGTAAAGCAGGACCCCCTAGGTCTCACCTTGCCGTACTTGCTGAAGGCTGCCTTGAGGTCTGTGGCTCGAGTTGTGGAGGAAAGTCCGCTCACCCACAGGTTCTTACTACTGGAGCTGGAACTGCCGTGCCGGGCTGGAACAACAGGCAATCATCAACAATTTAACCCTCAGTGTTTTAACACTTAAAAGTTCTCACCAGAACTTAAAGACAGCATATGAATCAGGTATAGAATATAATACTCCATTTCTCAGTTCCATACTGAAATCTTCTTTCCCAGACCTACATCTCTATGGAACAAGCTTCCCTGTGAATGCTTCCCAAATGGGTACAACATTTAACTTAACGTAACCCAAAACATGTAAGTGGTTCGTATGAGACAAAATAGGAGGCTAAATCACAGCAGAGGACACTAAAATTAACATCATACGTATCTGGAACACACTTTACCACAGCAAACACCTCTAAACAAGTCTACATGGAAGATAACTGCAACCAGTTAGTCAGCAAGGCTACTTTTATCTAGTAATGCATTTTCCTCTTACCCTTCTCATCCTTGCCTGGCGGTGCTTTTGCATCTTTGGTGTCCTTCCCACTGGCGCTGTTCAGGAGAGAAGGGAAGGCAACATGTGAGCAGGAGGGACTGGCACGAGCTTCGCGCGCAAAACCGCTTTTTTTACCTGCCGCGATTAACAGGACTGAGTGGGGTGAGAAAACCATGTTGGAAATCTTTTATTTAGTGTGGGGTTGTAACCGTTGTACGCACCGCTTGGCTGGTTACCGGGTTTGATTACTGAAACATTAAGTTGTCTGGTTCTAAGATATTTCTGTGATTACTTGAGCAGAATGAGCAGAGAGAGAGACAGGATGACGGTTTTATCTTTAAGGGTTTCTCTTGTGATCAAACGAGCAGCCAACGTCTTCAGAGTCGCCTAAGAAACTGCCGTTAAGTCTAAGATTATCTATGAGCTCCTTGGCTAAACGGGGGCGTGTTTATAAGAAGTTGGTTCTAAGTGTTAGATGGAGGAAAATGGCACAAGTTGAGTTCGATGAATCTAACAGCCACCAGGTCCGACCCTTGGCATGCTACCATGGCAACGGGGCACCACACGTCGTCGACCTTCGCCAAGGGCACCCCTGGCAGGTCAGAGGTCACTATACAGGGTCGAGGGTCAAAGTTGAGATGGACTTCGCACCTTCCTGTCGGGCGGTTCTTTTCGTTACAAAAATAGCTCTTAAAATTTAAGTTCTGAGTACGGGAGCAACTATTATAGATGGGTACATGGATAAAAAGGGAGGAACTGACTGAATTTTCACCATCAATGTAAGCAAGCATTACCACAAGCGGCACAAACCTCCGAGTCCTCACGCTCGAAACGCCCGACGGGCTTTTCTTGGCCGACGACGACGAGCTTTCTTTGTTCTTCTCTCCTCCTCCTGCCTCTGCCGCTTTCTTCCCAGCCTCCTCGGGCGCTTTCCCCTCCTCCTCCGCCTTCTTAGCCCCGTCTCCTTCCTTGGGAGCCTCCTTAGAAGCTTCCTCGGCCTTCTCCTGAGTCTTCCCAGGCTCCTCGGTGGCCGGAGCAGCGTCCGCGGAGGACTCGGCGTCCTTGGGCATGTCCAGAAGGTCGGCGTCAAGGTCGGCGATCATCTGGTCGTCGGCGTGGACCACCAGCGAGATGTTCTCCTCCTCGTCTTTGGTTGCCGCCGGCAACGCGTGCATCTCCAGCAGGTCCTTGGAGGTCAGCGGGAACGGAACGGGGGCGTCTCCGGGGGCGACGACCTTTGCCCCCGTGGCGGCAGGCTTGGCTGGCTGGGCGCTGGGCTCCGGCTTGGGTGCTGCTGCTGTGTTCTTGTTGCTACCTTCTTTCTCTAAAGACAAGTGAATGGATATTAAATGGTGTGAGACCCACATGGAGATACCTGAGCTGCCGAGCACGGCCACAACTTCTGTCTTAGGCCTGCTCAAAAACTTCTTTAAGAAAAATCAAGTCAATTCCTTACAACCAGAGCTAGCTCACTATGTGCACTTACCTTCAGATACGACTGTAGTTACAGCAAGGGACAGTAGGGACAATACTGCACTTACAGAGCGGGGCATACTGTGTCCGTCAACTTTGCAATACTGTGTGAACTTTAACCTGTGAACTTTACCCTTTAACCTGTAGCCCGTGAACTTTACCCTTTAACCTGCAGCCCTGTCAGGGTCCCTCCCCTCCGCTGCAGAAAGCTTGCTCCTCACATTCAGACACAACTGCCCCCCTCCCCCTTCTCTTCAGTCCTCTGTAACCTGGTCCAGCGTTGCCATGGTGTTCCGGTGTTGCCACGGTGACCAGTGTTCCATCGTTGCCACGGTGACAGTTGCCATGGTGCTGCCAGGAGAGTCTACCCGATGCTGTTGGCCTGTGACTTTTTTCCAAGCAGAGCAAATCTCTCTTCAACTCCAGCCTTCCCCGAGCACTTTTTTCTTCTAGACAGGAAACACTGCCATTTGTAGGATGTCCAGTCCTCTTCTCAAAGTCCCTTTGGTGATCTTCGATGTCTTCATGTTGCCTCCGAGCCACAAAAGTTTTTTCTTCCGTACAGAAATATTGCCATTTGTACTAAATTGTAGGATGTCCTGTCCTTTTTTTGTAACTCTTCCTCTTCCTCTTGTAACTCTTCTTAAAAGTCCTTCTGGTGATCTTCTTACCCCCCAAAGGAAGCCCCCCCTCAAAGTCTTGTCTTCTGGCCAGTCTTCGGTGGCCCTTTTCCACTGAAAACAGCCTTCAGCGTCCTGAAAACGTCCCGCAAAGTCCTCACCCGAGTTCCTCCCCAGCAAACCTCGTCTGGCTCTGCTCAATGTCATGGTGGCATCTCCCGTAGTTCTCAACATGACAAGATCATCTCCAAGGTAACAACAAGGTTGTCTCCACGGGCGTGGCAGTCACCACGGAGGACGTGGCAGTGGCTGTTGTCATGGCAACGGTCCTTGCATCGCTATGGAGACGACATCACCATGGAAACGGAGAGATGTGGAGGAACAAGCTTTCTTGCAGCTGCCCTGACAGGGTTGGCTTAATATTATTACTACTTTTATTATTACCTATTCACAGTAACTTTGATGGTCGGCTGTATTAAACCTGTGGTGACCTACAGTAAGGGCGCTAGCTTCACCTAAGGACATGGGGGTTACCTAAGGACACGGGGGTCATCTAAGGACACTGGGGTTACCTTTCTGGTCTGCAGGGGTTTCTGCCTCCCCCTCTCCCACCTCCTGAAAAAGTCAGATGACTTCAGTTACACGAAATTCAAGAAAACCAACTCTTGATCAAACAAAAAAACAAAACACCAACATCACTGTCAGCCTAGTACAGTTTCAGGTATGACAACTTTGTACTCAACATTCAAAGATGGTGGTTATAACAACATAGGGGTTACCAAAATGTCAAAAATTCAATCATAAAAACATAAGACAACAACAAAAGCAGAACAAAGCACAGAAAAGCTTCAACAACGTAAAAAGTCCAGCAAAGTATTCCAGGGAAAACAAAAGAAAGAAAGAACAAGGAACAAATCTGAATGTGCAAAAATATCTCACTAAATATCTACAGCATGAAATAAATGGTAACAATATGATATGCAAAATAATACAAATCATGAAAGAAGTCAACATCACAAATCTATTAAAGCTATTGGTTAGCACTAAAAGGAAGTAACAAAATGATACAAAACAATAATGGCAATTCTTTCTACAAAATCCCAGGCATTTTATGTTATGAAAAATATAACTCAGTGACTTCATCTAAAAGATTAAGTAGGCTTTACTAGGGAAGAAATCACAGGGGTTCAAAGGTCAGGATCATGGGAAAATGGAGGCACAAGGTTCAAAGGTCAGCACAAGAGGATCATGGGAGAAAATGGCGGCCTGACTCACGTCCTCGGTGAGTAGTTCCTCCTCTTGTTCGGCCGACAGGGCGACGTCGTCTGCGGCTTCTCCCGTCTCGTTTAGAACCTAAACACAAACAAACAATCATGAAAGTTCACCTGTGTTGGTAGTTACATGTTTAGAGTGACTGGTCGAAAGCTCTAGGTGAGAGAACTTTTTGAGTTGGATCAAAGTTTTAACTCTACACAGTTACAACAAGTCTTAGTGCTGGAAATAAATAAAAAATGTCTTCTCCTGTATCATTTATAAAACCTGCACACAAAACACAGAACCCTGACAACTTTTATATTATAATATTAGAATTTTGAATACAGAAAACAAGTATTTCAAACACCTGATAGCAGTATACATACATATATATACAACTGTTACCAGGACTGGGAATACTTGTTGAAAATTACCTGCACCAGACAAATTTTACCTGCACCATGCTGAATTTTAACACAGAACCTTAAAGCAGACCATTCCTGCTCTTCCAACCACTTCTGATATCGTGAAACAACTCACATTCAAATAAAAGTTTATCTGTAACATTAACTGAAATCAAAGATTTTCAAGTTATACGCTATGCAACAGCTTGTTGGTATGCACTTTTCTGTGTATAGAAACAGCACATAAAATCTTTATACTGTTAGTGCATAATACTTTTTATCGGTTACCGTCAATTACTCATTCCTCAGCTTGGCTGTGAATGACAGCTATGGCTGTCCAACTCACAAGTATCTATTACAACTCTTGTACCTTAAATTGCAAGAAAATTGATGTAGTCCTAAGAATAGTGATACAAATCTGAAGCTAGTGGGCATATTATTGGCATTGGCATAAAGTGAAGATCATACAACATTTCAAACAACATGTCAACACAAAAAGAACATGGAAATGCTTCATAAAACTCTCAAAAATCAGTTTACATGTAGCATGTTATGACTTTTATCCAAGTGACTGCGTCTTGAAAAAAAAACTTCCAGGGAACAGAGTTTCTTAGTTATCAATTTCAACAAAAAACAGTTGAGGCATACTGTATCCAGAACTGTGCCTACCTAGTTCTATGCCTGAATGGGTTAGGGTTAGGATCAGGCACGGTTCTGGATAGTCTCTACTGTACCCAGAACCGTGCCTACCTAGTTCTATGCCTGAATGGGTTAGGGTTAGGATCAGGCACGGTTCTGTACATTTGTGCCAGTCACAGTTCTGGATCCACATGAACTATCCAGAACCGTGTCTGAGCATAGCTCTGGATAAGACGGTTCTGGATACATGTGGACTATCCAGAACTGCGCCTGAGCATGGTTCTGAATAAAGCACGGTTCTGGATATAACAAGGCATCAGCTGACAGAAATGGAAAGAAAAGGAAACCAGGTAGTTAAGAAACAGTCAACATTTAAGCAACTCTGTATGTAACTAAAAGCAATGTTTAACTGTAGAAGTCTGAAATGCTCAAACATTCGTACTGAACACAAAACAGCGTCACAGACAAAAACCTTAACAAGATTGTCCTTATACTTCATTCCATTCCCTCGTTCTTTTCCTCATTGTTGCAAAGCCAGGAACAAAGTCTAGTCCATAACCAGAGAGACCATGGTTCAATTCCCATGAGCTGACAAACCTGGGTTTGATCCCCGTACCTGTGAGTCCTTTTCACCCCAGGTGAGAACAGGTGTTGTCTTTCCCTCGCACCAGGTGTTCCTACCTGTTACCTACATGCTCACTTCTATAGTGGGACTGGGGAAGCTCTAAGGTATGGGGAAGGCTGCCTGAGGCATATTTTGAAAATAATTTTTTTTCTATCAGAAATGGTAGCCTTGTATGTCTATTCTGTTGACTTGACTTCTAACAAGGACACTATAGTATGTGCAGAAGCGGCCCCTGCAGGCCCTGGGTGGTACTGCAGAGCTGGCTTTACCTTGTCCACCAGGCTGGCTGCGTCCATCTCCGTGTCTGGTGCAGCAGCGCCCCCTGCCTGCAGTTCCCCTGCAGCTGCTGCTGCGTCTGTCTGCGGAGTCTCGCCTGTCGCTTCTGCAGCTCCAGAACTCGGTACATCCGCGCTCTCTGCCGCAGAAACCTCCCCCTTCCCTTCCTCTCCATCTGTTGTCACCGTGGCAACCGTCTCCGGGGCGTCGCCGGTTTCCATGGCAACCGCATCCGCAGCAGTCTCCCCCTCCTGGACCTTCTGGTCCTCCTCTCCATTCAGCCCTGCCGACGTTTCCTCCGATTCCGACTCACCGTCTTCCTCCCCGAGGTCGTCGATCGTATCCATCTCCTGCTTTATTGCACAACATCCGTCACTATGGAAACCACCCATCACCATGGAAACCACCAACTAACACAACCCCCCTCCCCCACCGTAATGTAGCAGCCATGCCCAACTTCTAGCATTGATAGGGAGGATGGAATTGGGTATTGCACTTATGTTTTACTCTTTTTCTTATCTAACATCTATTCCAAGCGATTCTGTGGGTTGAACTACCAGCATCTGGCATTGATCTAACTAGATTGCATTAGGTCTTTCTGATTTGCCAAAAAGCAGTTACTCAAGCAACTGGAAAGAGATTTTGGAACTGCTTGAGTAGCTGCTTTTTGGCACATCTTATCACCTGGATATCTAACCTTTATCAACATATCTTTCTGATTTGTACTGTTGTTAACAAATTATTGTAATAAATGTCATATATATTGCACGTTGAACGGGCAGCATCTAACACAGCAGACAGCAGTAAGCTTATCTAGTGGAAATCAGCAGGAACAGCAGAACAGTTCAGTTGAGGCGGGATAGAAATGTCCTGAGAACACACAGCAAGTTTCACCCCTTCTTTGAGAGGTGAAGAATTCAAAACCACTAAACCTATATTTGCAACAACGATCAGGTAATTCCACAAGGAATTGTACTGTTCATTGGCATCTAGACATTGGCATGCATGGGATTTTAACTTGCACATAAGTTAGCAAGACTATAAAATAACGACACAGGACTGACACATCAGCACCTATCCTGAAGGTCACATTGCTGTTCTAAATGTCATAGTGCTGTCCAGAAGGTCACAGTTCTGTCCCAAAGGATACAGCACTGCCCAAAAGGACACAGCACTGTGCTAAGGTCATAGTGCTGTCCTGAAGGTTACAGTGCTGTCCTGAAGGACATAGTGCTATCCTGAAGGTCGTACCTGGTCCAAGGAGTCGTCCTCATCCAGGACGTCAAGGTCGTCCATGGGTTCGTCCTTGAGAGACAGGCTGTCTGGAAGGTCAGCTGTCTCCGTGTCCATCCCTTCTTCTGCAGGTTCTTCTGTGCTCTGCTCTTGCTCTTCTTTCTTTGTACGACCTAAATGGTGGGGGGAGGGGGGGGACACATGTAGTCAGTTCCTTTACATTCATCTATGTATTCATCTGGCCACACCGAACCAATTTGTTGGTTTTTGGATTAAAAGGATAGTACTACACTGGAACATTACAGCTGTACAATCTGACTTTGACTTTCGGACATGCTTTTGTTTGATGCATCAGATTTTATTTGACAGTTGTCCACCATTTGTTGCTTGACTAAATCTGTATCTGTATCGATATAGCCGGTATAACCGCCCTTTGGCGTAACACACCAGCTTCACGGGCAGGCGGCGCGGCGGCAGCTAGCTATATTACACCGAACGACTTGAACGACTTAAATATAATCATGTCTTGTCCTGTGTAAATTTGGAAGGCAGCTTCTACTAGCTGAATGGGCTACCCAGCCATTTTATGATGAAATAAATAGATTTCTGGCAGTTACTTACGGACAGGTGTTCTTCTGGCTCCTGCTGCCTTCTTGGCCGACGCCAGCTTGTCTCCAGCCTCAACTTCAATCTCATTTGGGTCTCCACCTTCATCCTGGATAGCCTGGGTGGGAGGGGAGGGAAAAGTTTCAGTCAGTGCTTGGTTTGGTTTCCTTTTCATGCCCACAATCATGATCGTTCTGGCATACTCATTTTCACCTAAGGGAAGTGAGGAAAGTCGTGTTAAATACCTTCATCCTGGCTAGCCTGGGTAGGTAGAGTGGAAGGGTTTCAGACTTTCAGTGTTCTGTGTCTTTCTCAATGTTTCTTGTGCAATCCCAAATAGATCATAACACGTTTAAGGCTGCAATCACAGCCTTCTCAAAACAAGCCGGCTACCGGCGAAAATCGCCGCCTACTCAAATTTTTGCGCCAGCTACTTTCGTTTAAATTTTCAGAAAAACAATGTAGTCTCCGTTACATTTTCCCTCAAATTCCACCGGCTCATTTCATCCGACGAACTTCAGACAAATTTCTGCTAGCTTTCTGGATCTGAAAACTGCTTCTTTCTTATCTTCTTGTGCAGATTTCTAGTGCACGAGTCAGCGTTTGCTTCTACGAGCGGCCAGAGCGGCAGAAACTTTACGGGGGGAGGGTCTTGTTCGGGGCTCGAATTGTATCCGCGGAGCTGTATCGCTCGAGCTAGGCGGAACTTGCTTCGTAAACTCGTTGCTCACGAAAATTTATCAAGCCGCTACCTTCCCAACTTCTCCCGGCACTAGTAACATTCCTGCTACAAATAACTAGTAAAAATCACGTCAAAAAATATCAAGACATGTACAGAAGCTTGTTCATATCTTTCATACACAGAGACAAATTTTCAAAAACAAATCGCCATCAGCGAGATTTCACAGCTGTTTCATTCATCAAAAGTTCTTGTCGATCGTAAAATGATCACTCATCTGTTGTCTCCACTAGTGTGGCATTTGTAGCGTAATCACGGCGAGCCAAAATCAGCGTCAAAACTAAGAAAACCCCGGAATAAAAAACGCACACTCCGCATCGCTGTACAGAAACAGGAGATTTCAGGCGCCATCTTGTCATGAATAAGTAAGTAGCACTGCGCGATCTACGCTCTGATTGGTTCACCTCACATGACCTGCGTTCTGATTGGATAAGCAATGTGGCTAGCAGCACGCAGCGCGGGAATATTTTTCTTCGTCGGTGACACATTTACGCTGCTTTCTACGTTTTTTCTACGACTATTTAGCAACATCCTATTAAAGAAATGCATAATTAAAAGAATTTTCGGGAAGATATATATTTCTCTACGCCGATTTTTGGTCTTTTTCTCGTAATATTCTTGTTCAAGGAACCCGGAAGTCAGTGTACCGGGACGCAGGGTGAATTTCCATAGGACATTTTTGGACCGCACCCCGCTAGAATTAAACCGTCAAAACAAAAACAAAACTTCCAAAAAGCGAACCTGTGACATTTTTTCACATCCCAATGATTATGTTTTCGATCAAATTGACATCTAAATATGCTTTCTTTATTTTTCTGTATTGTTGTGGCCGGGCGCAAGGACCGCGCGTAATAGTACGATCGGCAAAATCGTCTGGCCACGAGTGGCAAACAATTTTAATACAGCCTTTTCCCGTGCACGAACAGTAAATTTTGGAGCCATAAGATTGCCAAAAAAGATGCTCAGAATGTACCAAAAACGATGTTTAGGGGTCTAATTTTTACGATTTTCTCCGGGGGAGGCCCCAAGGACCCTCCCACTTCGTGGCTCGTCTGCTACTTTTTCTTATCAGCCACCTACTCTAAATTTTTTTGAGAAGGCTGAATCAAGTAAAAGTTTATTGCAAATGAACATGGCAAATTATATCAGTGTCCTAGCTCCAGATGCTCCGTAACAAATGCTAGCAGGGCCAAAATTCATGTTTTGGAACAGGTGCACTGGAGAACCTGTACGCTTCAAAGCTTTGGATGTGCGCATGAAAAACTTGCCAAGAAATTAACTGCTGTATGGGGATCTAACCACCATATCTTTCATAGCCTGGAGGGAGTTTCAATGTCCTGTATAAATTATTTCCATCACATGAGAACATCCTACCAAGCAAAGGAATGGTCGTTTTTACTGTTTACTATTTTTATCATGTCCTATGTTGCCGGAATTTATTTAGCCCCCTGGCATGAATTTGTTTATAAAGTGAGACTTTCTCTTTAATTTGCAATTTTCTATTTGGGATCGCACAAGAAACAAGCGACCCTATCCTTTTTTCGTACTGGAAAACGCCCTCATCTGCATTTGGAAGGCATTATACTTTATAGTATTTATAGGCATATACAAACACAAGCGGACCCCTGTGATGTTTTTATAATTTGTGCAAACAGAAGAATCAGTGCCATGTGCGGCCATATCTGATCACGTGGGCACAATTCGCGCCACGAATAGAATGTTTATTTCCCACAAAATTAGCTCCCAAATTTTTGCCGCAAAAACAACGCTTCTGCAACTGAAATCTAATCACCAGCGACCCAAATAATCTCTGTAAACTCCAGTGCACAAAATGTGGGTGATCAGAATACAGATAACTTCTCCGATCGCGATTTTTTTTTTTCAGAGACCCAACCCACGCTGGTGTAAAGAAACAAAGCGGCCGCCATTTTTGGACATCTCTCTCCAGAAAAAACTCACCTTTCAGCTGAATTTAAGTCCGCAAATACTGTGAAAATAGCACAAACCTTACCTTCTTTAATCTCTCTATTAGTACTGGCTTTGTCCCTCCCTTTTCGAGGCCTCTTTTTTCCAGTTCTTCCCTCAAATCGACCACTCGAAGGTCGCTGAGTTTTTTCTTCTCAATCGCCATTTTATCGTCTGTGAGAAGAAATGTCCCGGATGTTCACTCCCAGGGGTCTGTGCGGTGTCAGAGCGTACCATATCTAAAGGCAAAAGGGTGAAATATTATAATAAAATAAATTAAATCTTATAATAATCCTAATATTAAAAACTTTAATACTAAAAACTATGAAATCTTTGTGAATAATTTCTTCACGAATACAGCGATAACATTGTGTTAAAATATGTTTAAATGAAGAGTCTCCCTAAATTCGAATGGACTCGTCCTGTAAAGGTCACAAAGCCCCAAGACGATCGCGAAAATCTTATCCAGAGAAGAAAGGCGTTTGGAAGAAGTCTTGGCAAGATCTTGGCGTTCAAGAAGGTCTTTGGTCACCCGTGGTTATTTCTGGAGCAGTTCAGGGTTGTGTTAGCGATGGTAGAGATCCTTACGTGCGTGTGAGAGTTGTGAAAAACCGGGTACAAATTGTGTTGTGTGGTTGGAACGTGTTTGTGAGATGCATGCTTGATCAGTCTGAACGCCAAGCAGATGTGTGGCGTGTGCACGCCTCCTGTTGTATCCAGAACCGTGCTTTTATTATCCAGAACCATGCTCAGGCACTGTTCTGGATAGTCCATGTATCCAGAACCGTGCTTTATCCAGAACCATGCTTAGGCACAGTTCTGGATAGTCCAAACATGTCCAGAACTGTGCTTTATCCAGAACCATGCTCAGGCACTGTTCTGGATAGTTCACACGTATCCAGATTCCAGAACCATGTTTCATTCAAAACCATGCTCAGACACGGTTCTGGTTAGTCCACACATGTCCATCCAGAACCGTGTTTTATCCAGAATCATGCTCGGGCAATGTTCTGGATAGTCCACACATATCCAGAAATGTGCTTTATCCAGAACCATCATGCATGGTCAGCCACAGTTCTGGATAGTCCATACGTATCCAGAACCATGTTTTATCCAAAACCTTGCTCAGGTACAGTTCTGGATAGTCCACACATATTCAGAACCATGCTTTACAGTTTACGAAATTATCCAGAACCATGATGGCACAGTTCTGGATAGTCGACTCCACATGTATCCAGAACCATGCTTTATCCAGAACCATGCTCAAGTACGGTTCTGGATACTAGTACCAATTAGTAGTACTCCACACATGTCCACGTATACCTTGTGCAAATCTGTGTTCTTGGCCATGGAGATGCAGACACTATCCAGAACCGTGCCTAAAATTTATGACTCCATCCACTCCAGGTAAGGTCAAATTATCTGAACAAAGTCTCCTCCCCCAAGGAAGTTTACATTCTTTCCGCAACCACATCATCATGTATATTTGATACATGTATGAGCACAAGTATTACTATTACTGTATTAGTAACATTACTATTACAAACATGGAGCAATAAATACATTGCAGTAGAATTGAGAAACATGTTCAATGTTTAGTTGGTGTGCAGTCTGTACATGTTGTGAAACCTCTACAGCTATTTTGTGTCACATGCAGTTTGACTTTGAGTACACAACTTCTGTGCTGCAGATGTGAAGTGTTGAATGGATAGGTGTTGTCAGTCTCAGTGTGTGGGTCTGTGGCTTTGTTTAAATTCTCCACAGGCTGGCTCAGGAGCATTTTACCAGCCCCAGGTCTATTAGCAAGCTTAGGCCTCTCCGGACAAGCTAGATCTTTCTAATTATTGCTGTCCCTCATAGGTGAAGCAACTGAAACCTACCACTGGCGTGTGCTACAAGACCTAGGCGGGCAGGCAGTAGAGATACCACGAAGCCTACGGTGGTCTGGTTACCAGGCTAGGCTAGTGGGTTTGTAACATGGTCCTAACTCTTAACATTCCCCCTTTCAAACCAGTCTTGTTTCTTTTCCAGGTTGGACAGCAAGTTGTTTCCAGTGCACACAATCATCACTGCAGTAGAGAAAGGTTCAAAATTAGTTGATCTCTCTGTAGGCTGATTTTGCCAAATCTTCTTCCGTACTTTCCATTGCTCAGTGGACTAAAAATCTGAAGAAGAAAGGTTTGTACACAGGCTGTTTATTAAAATATGGGTGTCCCAAACAATACCAGAAAATCTCCCAAATTGAAGAGTTCACATCATGTCTCTCACAGCTAGCTTTGAACCCTAAGTACTGCAGCACCATGCGTGTCCTTGGCATGGTAGCTTGCTGGGTGTTGCCGTCATGTGACTGTCACATGCTGATCACATGTTCATCACATGACGGCTGCATGACCAGTCCCTGCCTTGCCCAGTGCCATGAGCAGCAAGTCCCCGCCTCTCACTCTCTGCTCTGCTTTGGTTTTGCAGGGCCCGTTTGGCAGGAATTTTGTTTCTGCAAAGTGACCATCCTTGACAAGAAACAAACAAACAAACGAGTAAATCGCCCCAGTAGGGCTAGAACTCGGTTCCCCTGCCAGGCCGCGTGGTCAAGTAAGCAGCGCACAAACCAAATACCATAGCACGGTCAAACTTCTCACAAGTCCACACAAACTACTGACAGCTTAGTAAAGTCACTTCCACAAAGCATCAGCTAAAAAGTCTCCAAGTTGAACACTCCTGCATGCAGCTACAATAGCTCCAGATTAACTAAACAATCGGACAGGCTAAGAGGACTGGATCTTCACAGTGGGATTCCATGACTGGAGGTTTATGATCCGGATCTGTACTGTGGGACTCCATGAACGTTTGTGATCCGGATCTGGATTCCATGACGGTTGTGATCTGAGGACACTCCGAGGAGAAGCATGAGTCATCAGAGGACGGGTCAGAACTGGCGGGGTGGGAACCGGCGAGGTCCAAACCGACCCACGCAAAACCCAGGCAGTGTGCACAGCAGGCTGGACCGACCCACGCACAACCCAGGCAGTGTGCACAGCAGGCTGGGTGTGCCGCGGGCAGGGAACAGGAGACACGGGCCACAGCCCGGCGGTCGCAGGTGGCAGAACGCGGACCGCGGGCACGAGAGGGAAGAAGAAGGACCGTTCCTCCAAGACGCGAGAGAACGTCTCGAAGAAAGCAGACGTCGGGAGTATGAGGAGCAAGCCGGCTTCCAGGAAGCCATGATCCAAGACCGGATCTTTGTTGTAGAGAACCAGGTGTACGGGCAGGACGAAGGGAACCAGCTGTACGGTAACCAGGACGACCCCGGGCCGCCACTCGAGACCGCCGCGCCGAGCGACGTGGACTATCGCCGCGACAACGGGTCGCTCCAGGTCACCGTTGAGTCCGGTCACCACGACGTCGACTACCGCCGGGTCCAGGTCAAAACGTCGGACTCGGAGCGAGGAAGCTACGGCAGAGAGACGAGCCCTCCTCACCATGAGCGTTCCCCACGCCATGAACCTTACCGGATGTACCCTGGAGACTATCCAGAGGTGTTGGCCCACGAAAGGTCTGTTGAGAGAGATTTCGGGGATCCGTATGACCGACGTGATGTGCGCCATGAAACCCCAGAACGGACCGACCTGGAACACTTCGATATCGGAGCAGACAGGGCACGGGAGTTCAGAGATAGAAGTCAGTCACGAACTCGGGACGACAGACGACAGTTTTCACAGGATAGAACCAGGCGCTCCAAAGAATTCGAAGATGACAGACGAAGAGACAGAAGCAGGCCTCGAGACGATGATCGAGACAGAAACAGACTTTCTCGAGAAGATGACCGAGAGAGAAACAGAAACAGGCCTGCAAGAAATGTAGACGGAGAATCTGCCCCTAACAGGCGTTCCGCAGAGCCAGTGTCTGACTGGGAGGCCCAGCTGAGAGAAAGAGCGCGGGAGTTCGGGAGGCAAGTCGAGGAGGAAAGTAGACAACGTGGCAGTCGGGAGAGGTCAGATCCGTGGGTGGACTCTCGCGAGGAGCGCGACAGTCACAGGGAAAGTTGGGAAAGACAACGGAGAAGCCGCTCATATGACAGGTTAGGGGAAGATACAACAATGTATGACAGAGAGCAGGGTGAAACATACGATCGTGGTCAGTACAGGAGGGAAGAGTTAGTCGACCACAGTGAAGCTCCATACCGCCATGAAGATAGTTACAGAGACGACCGGGGCTACTCACCACCCAGGTCACCAACTTACGACAACGCTGCCTTTCCCACCGAACCGCCACCCGATGGGCCCGGCACCCAGTACCTCCCAGGGGAGCACTCTCCACCCCTCCAACAAACGAGTTACAGCAGCGACAATGTCTACAGAAACTTCCCAGGCAACCAAAGTCCTCACTATGCACTGGACGAATTCGGTCAGCCAGTTGCTAACCTTCATAAAGAGTATGTTAGAAGTCCCCCTGCTGGTTCCCATGATGACCGTATCCATGGTGACCGTATCCATGGCAACCGCAGCAGCAGCCGCACCCCCAGCCCGGTGGTGTTGCACCAGGAGGAGGATCTGTATGGAGGTTGGGGGAAGGGCCGCTCGTCCGACAGTCTCTATTCTGCAGTCAGCTCCAAACCCGGCCCTGACCTGGACAGCAGGGGAGAGTACAGGCTGGCAGACAGCAGCCCTCACGGTGGAGACCCATATAGAACAGACTATGATGCAAGAGAGCGGGAGTATGATCAGTACAACATTCAGGAAATTCGGGGAAGAAGCCCTGAGTACCAGCCTTCAGGGGATCCCCACAGGGGTGAGCAACCTTCCTGGAACAGCCGGCAGGAGGGGAGGGGGGAGCAGGGTTCTTGGAACAGCCGGCAGGAGAAGAGGGAGGGGAGAGACGCCAGGGCGAGCAGGGATGCAGGAAGGAGGGAGAGATACGCTGAAGAGAAGCAGGGAACGAGGGAGAGAGAGAGAGACACGAGGAGCCAGTCTGGAAGGGAAAGGGAGCGCTCAAGAAGCCGTGATCAAGGCAGGAGGGACTCACAAAACAGGAGGGAGCAACGTACATCGTCACGGGCACGAGATAGAGACAGGAGAGACTACGAACAGCAGAGTGACTTGCAGAGGAGTTTGGCAGACGAAATAAACAAGATTCGGCAGGACCCTGATCGAACTGACAGGCAGCGGAAAAACGAGCGCAGCAGAAGCAGCCGCGGAAACTCTCGAGATCAGCAAAGTGAGCGAAAACGGTCAGAAAAGTCGGCAGGCAGCGGTGCTAGTAGAAGTAGAACCAGCCAACAGCGATCGTCACCCAAGCCGTCGGGTAAAGACTCGAGAAGCGTGAAACGTAAGAGAAGCCAGAGTCTCAGTCCCAGACGTAAGTCTCGCGGCAGACAAGACGATGCGAGAGGAAGCCGCAGCTCAAGAGACAAGGAAGGAGACAGCAGAAGGCGGCGAAGCCCACGAGACAGCCGGCGTGATGACAGCAGAAGAGGTGAGTCTCGTGGTCGGAAAGAAGACACGAGAGAAAAGAGAACTCGCCGTCCAAGCCCTTCAGATCAAACAAACCGAAGGCAGCAGGAGATTGCAGATGAGGAAAGCAGCCAGATGTGGCCTCTGCAGCCTCCCAGTACCCTGGAGCAGGCATCCAACTGGGCCCTAGAAACACCCCAAGTTCATGATCAACATACGGGCCTGCCGCCGTGGCAGCCAGTTGGTACGCAGGGGAGTTATCGGGAGTTTGAGACGGATGCAAGCTCTGTGTATCGCAGCAACACTACTCAGGAAAGTACAGGCGGAATGGGGCCACAGACTGACTTCCACGGGGAAGGGACTAGTACTGACATGCCTCCTGGCGAACGAGGAAGAACTATAGTGGAAATCCAGCCAGCCGTAGAGACAGGTAATGCACCCGCTTCAGGCGCAAGAACAGACATGTGGGACGTTCAAAGTGCAGGAGCCAAAACTCAAGCAGAATCTCTCCAATCCCAGCCTAGCCCGGCTCCACAGAAAGGTGCGACACAAGCGAACCTGGTGGAGATTCCCTCCTTCCAGCAAGCTCAGGAGATGAAGAAACAGCGGAGCAAGAGCTCCTTGGAAGTTCCGTCCACCCCTCAACGTTTCCCTCCAAGCATGAGCTTCCCAGAGAAGCTGCTGATCCTATCGGAAAGCTACGGCGTCCGAACCCGACAAGAGGTGGAGAATCGGATCCACAAGTACGAGAAGGAGGTGAAGGACGGTTACCTGAACAACGTAACGGTCGAGAACAATGATGACAAAGCTGTAGAACACCTGGGGGAACACCTGCCGCGCGGAGGGCTCTGGAAGATCAAGCTGCTGCGGCGAATCGTCGTGGAGTGCCTCCCCAAGAAAACTGTGGAGATGAAGAACAAAATCCTGTGGCTGTGCAAGCAGCTGCTTCCGCCGGAGGGCATCGAAGTGACGGAGGACATCTTCACGGCGCTCCTGGCTAAGAGAGTCACGAAGTACGGCTTGAAGAAAGCGGCTCCGTGTCCAGCGACGGGGGCAAACCTGCAGCAGCCGGAGCAGAAACAGGTGAAGAACGAGGAGAAGCGAGACATGGTGGTGGAGTACCTGCAGAGGCTGGGCGTCCCGGCGACGCGCGAGGCCGTGAACGGGATGCTTCAGAACGAGCAGATGCTGGAGAACATTGAGCGGACGTTCTGGCTCCCGCATCAGGACCGCCGCCTCGTGGAGCGGTACCTCCGCCAGATCCGCGTCCCCATCACCCCCGAGGCCGTCAACAAGATCATCGGCAACCCCGACATCCTGGCAGACATCAAGAAGACATTTGGGTCTTCAAAGGAAGGGATCCCTTCCCAGCGCGGTAACGACGATCATCAGACTCAGAACAGCGCCGTGGCAACAATCTCCATGGCAACTGCATCACAAGAACCACCTGCAAGCTTGTCAATGACTCGGAAGCTCACACCCAGCAGCAGCACCAAGTCTGATGCCACAGAGGCCAGCCCCTACAAGCACCTCTTGTCATCCAATGCTCCTGTTCATCAGAACCATCCAGCAGCTCCCCTAGCGATGTCAGGCAGTACTGCAGCCTCTGTGATGTACACACAACCCTCTGTTCACATGTCTCAGGCATCTTCTATGGGCCTGCAGCAAGCACAGAACAGCAACACTTTCGGGGGCACCACACAAATACATGGACAGCACCAAAGACAGTTGATGCAAGGGGAGGGTGAACAACAGGAAAGACAGCAGGGTAGTGCACATGGAGGGTACAATGAGAGAGGACAGCAGCAAAGACAACTAATGCATGGGGAGGGAAGACAGCAGGCAAGACAACTGGACAGTTCAAATGCGGGGTACAACAAAGGGGGACAGCACCAAAGACAGATGGACAGTTCGCGTGGGCATTACATCGAGGGTGGACAGCAACCAAGACAGCTGATGCATGGACAGGGTCGACAGCAGGCAAGGCAGCAGATGCAAGGGGAAGGAGGACAGCACCAAAGGCAGCTGAACAGTTTGCAGCAAACACAGAACAACAACCCTTACGGGGCCCCCACACAGATACATGGACAGGGAGGACAGCACCAAGGACAGCAGATGCATGGCGAGGGTGGACAGCACCAAAGACAGCAGGACAGTTTGCATGGGGGGTACAGCCAGGGTGGACAGCAGCAAAGACAGCCAGATAGTTCACATGTTGGGTACATCGACCAGCAGCACAGAGCAGCAGGACAGCAGATGCACGGGGAGGTTGGACAGCACCAAAGACAGCACCAAGGGCAGCATGCGCAGAGTGGGCAGTACGTAGGTTATGACAGCATGGTGCCGAGGTCAGCAGCCGCAGAATACCATGGAACAGTGAACCCAGGTCTGCTGCCTTCCCAGCAGCAGATGTACATGTACGCATCACCCGCCGCCTTCCCCCCACAGCCTGGCATCTCAGAGCAGCTGCAACACTTCACAGCGCAGACACCCGGCCCGGCTGCTGCAGTGGAGAGCCTGGAAAGTACTCGGGTGTTTATCATGGATCTTTTCCGCCAGGTTAACCTGGCCTGGGTGCCGGAGGCTACTGTTCAGGAGATTCTGGGGAACCGGGAACTCGTGGAGCAGATCCAGCGATTTCGGGCGGTAGGAATGCCACTAGAACTGCTCGTCAACTACCTGAAGCAGTGTTTGCAGCTGGTCAACCGTCAGTAGGCAGCTGGTCAACTGCATTCAGCAGAATGTACTGCACCTGTGCAAAACCCATAATGTATTGTGCATAGCACTTCAGCATCTCATATAATTCATATATAAGGTTAACATATGTTTCCACAAGATGTCGTCCGCAATAGGCAAAATTCTTATTGACCAAACATCCAACGAAAACCGTGAAAAGTCAGGGTTTTGCACAGGCGCAGTATGTTCTGTCAAGGTTCTTTGGTCAACCGCCGTAGGCAGCTAGCCAACTGCAAGTCAGGTGTGAAGTAATCCTCACTGTGGACTTGACAGAGAAGACAGACACTGTGTATATGTGTATAGGCTTACTATGCTGTGGAAATTCCCCTAACTCTTTTTGACAAGGACAACAATCATTGGATCATTGCTTCATGTTCGGTCCTAAGGACTGCGACCCTTTCCAGTTAGTAGACAAGTCAGCTGAAAGTTCATCTGTGTTGGTAGAAGTCATCGTGAACCATTTAAACTGCAGATACATGCGCTATATGCAAAGATGCCAACCCACCACCTACATGTACTCCAACAACTCCCAAGTGTGGAGCCTGCGAAGGCCTTCTCATACCAACACAGATCACCCACCATGCCAGCAAAAAAAGGAACGGGAAGAAACTTGCAACTGCCTGCAATCACTGCACAGGAACTCTTTAAGATTCCAAGAACAAAGGACTCATTTTACACCTCTGTCATTCTTATTTCTGGACTGATAAAAGTTTCAGATTTGTACTGAGATGAGGTTATGTTTTGTTTTTTTTGTCGGAATGTGGGGGATATGCTGTGCTCTATTTTGGTTCAATGCTGTATTTCTGAAATGGGAAAGTGAAAACAAACCATTCCAGTAGACTTTATGTCATGTTCTATCTCAAGTGAAAGTTTGCAATCAAGATGTGCAACGTTTTTGTAAGACCTGCTTCAAAGTTTGTGTCTTATATTTGGGGTATGTATTCCTATTAAGGAATGATGGAATCGCCGATAACATTCCTTCTCTTTTTATACTGGGAAGTCTGTAATGCTAGTACTTGGTGACACCCCTTACTGTGCCATTCTGAACTTTTTGTTATGGGGCCATCCCCAGCATTTCAATGGAATAGACAAACTATTTCGTTCAAATTGTGCCAAGCCAAATTGTGTAATTATTAGTGATCAGTGTGTTTCTTTAGTTTGCCATAAACAGATATGTGTCCAGATGATGAAGTTATTTGTTAGATCTGTGAATGATGATGATGTCTAATGCTAAGGTCACAATTCTCAACCTAGGGCAGTTTCTGAAAACAAAAAGTATGATATATATAATACAAGGAAACAAAGAAAGTTTTCAAAAAACTAATCATGACTACTATTTGTGTATTTTGTTGACATGACTTATTTTTCGTTTATGCAAACCACCCGGCCAGGTCCTGGTTTGGAAATGTGACCTTAGCATAAGTTTTGTGGATGTACGTACTGATAGAGGTCTGTAAATGATACTGTTTTAAGTTAACCTTCAACATGCTTAGGCAGCTGTTTGACACTAAATTTGTGTTGGTTACGTGGTTAGGCAGCAGGAAAAAGGTTAAGAGTTGTGTATGTTCATTGCTGATCAAGGTAACAAGGCAGCCATTTGATACCAAGTATCTGTTATGTGGTTAAGAGAGAGTTGTGTATGTAACGATGCATGCTGGTAGAGCTACTTAACCTTCAGCAAGGCGAGGCAGCCATTTGACACCAAGTATCTGTTGGTTATGTGGTCAGGCAGCAGGAAGAAGGTTAAGAGAGTTGTGTATGTAGCGTTACATGCTGAAAGAGATATGTAACATTCAACATGCTAAGGCAGCCATTTGATACCAAGTATGTTTTGCTTATGTGGTTAAGGAAAAAGGTTAAGAGAGTGTACTAGTATGTACATGCTGATAGAGCCTTCATCGTGCTAAGGCAGCTGTTTGATACCAACTACATGTCTGTGTTATCTGGTCAGGAAAAAGGTAAAGAGTATGTTGTGTATGTACATGCTAGTCAGTATCTGCAGCAGTATGTATAGGCCATGTCTTGAAGTCCCAGTGCAGTAAAGAGAGATATACACAGCACAAACTGGCTGAAAGAAAGAGAAACATGTATGTAGCGGGAAGAAGGTTAACAGATGTATTCCCAGCAGACTGACTGCACTGGATTAGTTTTAGAGCTGAAGTTGTCATGATCAGTAGTTCCTTCACATATATGGTTCATTCATTAATAAACAAGAACTTTGTAGTCATGGACTAAATTGCATCCTGTTGTGCATTTCTATTCATTATGTAGTTCATTAAGAATAAGATAATTAATATGCTCCATCTGTCATTTCAAGGCAGAATGAATAATTCCAAGCCATGTATGATGTGGATTGATACATTTTATTATTGAAATCCTAAAGTCACACAAACAGAAAATACTAGCAAGACAAGGGAGGAATATCACAATTGACTTTTTAATACATGGGGTAACATCCGTGTCCATGATATCACCAGGGTCCATAATATCGCCACCTTGAGAAACAGTGTGCTTAAAGATATTTTTACTGCAACATACTTTTGGTATGCACTCCTGCACACCTCAAATGTACATACCTAGGGTGTGTTGCAGTAAAAATATCTTTTAGCGCACTTTTTCTCAAGGTGGCGATATTATGGACACGGATGTTAGATTTAAAAAGTTGAGAGTAATAGTTAGGTACATGTACACAGTACATTCAGTGTACAGGTTTGACTACTTTTTAATAAGTTTAATATATAAAAGTTTTTTAATAGTATACATTTTTAAAACTTATATTGAGCTAGATTTAAAAAGTTGAGGTATATTGTTGTACCCTGTATACCCTGACTACTTTTTAATAAGTTTAATATACAAAAGTTTTTTAATAGTAGAGTTGTACATTTTAAAAACTTATATTGAGCTAGATTTAAAAAGTTGAGGTATATATGTTGTACCCTGTATACCCTGGAGTATGTGTGGCACTCTGTGCAGCTTTCAAAGTAACTTCATACTTTTTGATTAGTCCATTTTTTCATCAGTCCAGTGTTGTAATATATATGATAAACCTCCAGTTATTGCTACACAAACTTTAAAAAGACACGAGGTAGATTTAAAAAGTTGAGAGTAATAGTTAGGTACATGTACACAGTACATTCAGTGTACAGGTTTGACCACTTTTTAATAAGTTAAATATACAAAGAGCTATGGTGCACTAAAAATAGTATTTACATTGGGAGGTCAGGGTCAGAAGTCACATGTACTTCATCAGTCCAGTGTTGTATTAACTAAAATAAATCTCCGAGTGCCAGCTAGTGATACACAAACTTTTTTTTAAAACTTCCTGAGGTAGATTTAAAAAGTTGAGGTAGGCTGAATCATTGCAGTTTCCACAGTTCCTGAGTTAACAAGTTGAGGTAGATGTTAGTTACTGGTAGAGCAGACAAAGCTCCTTGCTTCTAGTGGTACACAAAGTCCCTGAGGCTGTATACAGTGTTTTTCTCCAAAACAGGTAGATTTAAAAAGTTGAGGTAGCCTGAAGTGAAGCTTTGTGGATGTTCATCACTGCAGTGTTCTGTATTTTTCTCCATGTTACACGGAAGTTACAACAGTGCAGTGTTCCTGTATGTGTTTCTAGTTGCAGCTAGTGGTACACAAAGTCCCTGAGCATGGCAATTGGAAAAAAGTTGAGGTAGATTTTTACCTTTCTCCAAATTGAGGTAGGTTTTGTGAATGTTAATCACTGCTGTATGCATGTGTTTCTCCATGTTGTGGCTAGTGGTACACCAAGTCCCTGAGCCTGTTACAATATAATGTATTTGCGGCAATTGGTACACGAAGGCCCTGCACCTGGCATGGATCTTTTCGTTAGTTTTGAGGAAGTAAGTGCAGTTTTCACTCCCTGTAGTTTGCAGTTAGTGGTAGACGAAGGCCCTGCGCCTTGCGTGGTACTCCCCATCCTGGAAGCAGTGGCGCATGCGCTCCAGTTCCTCGTTCCTGTGCTTCTCTAGGATGGACCAGAGTGACGCCGTTGCCGCTCGCTTGAGTCGGAGGATGTTGGCAGCGTCGGACTGGAGTCGGAGGCACTTCAGGTGGATCTGGGCGTTCAGCTCGGCCGCGTCAGACCCGATCACATCATCCAGAAGGCCTGGGGAACACACAGGAGGGAGAAGAGAGTTAAAATCATCTTTTTTAAGTTTTGACAAACATACAAGACAAACAGTTAAATTTAACACCAAGGTTTAATCCTCTGTTTTTAACTGTTCAATCCCTTAATATGAGTTAAGGAACTCAGGGGACGCAAGGTACTTTAATGTAAGTAATAAACTATTAATAAAGTAAAAGTCTGGAATCAGTGCTTGACTTTTAGGGGTTTTTTTTTTACTTGAACATGAACATTTTTACAAGTCTGGAACCGGTCCAGCGAACTGGTACACAGCACTACCCCTGACCCAACGCACACCCTGACTCACCCATGTCCCTGGCCTTTGGGGCGAGCACCGGCTGGAGTTGTGTGGTGAGTTCCTCCGCGGCGGGGATTCCCACCCTCTGCGGCAGGGAGTAGGTCCAGTACTCGGAGCCGAACAGCGCCATCTTGGCGTAGTGCGGGTTCAGCACAACCCCCGCGTGACCCACAACCTGCAGAAACACGGAGGGACGCCATGTCACATTTTGTTTGTTTCGCAAAACCAGTAAACCGACTTTATAGGCGTAACACACCAGTTTTGTACACTAAGGACAAGCTGCGTAAGACCAGACTTCCATTTAACGTCCTATCCCTAACAGAAGCTTGGTACTCATTAACACCTGAACAGCGCCATTTTGGCGTAGTGCGGGTTCAGCACAACCCCCGCGTGACCCACCACCTGCAGAAATATGGGTGCCACATCACCTGTCAGCTGATTGCAAGTCCCAATTTATTATCGTGTTGGCAGAGAAAGTTGAGTCTTTAGGGCAGAACAATTACCTTTGCCCATAGAAGCCTATGGTAAAATACACTAAAACAAGTCCCAATGAAACTACTTTCTCACACTTCAATTTCAAAACTTCTTCTGCACCAGAGAGCCACAAAGTTGTGAAATGGAAAAAAATTTACCATTGTAGGAAAGTTTAGACCCTACCTGTTCCTTCTAGCCCACAATTCTCCAAGCTGGACCAAAATTTTCAAGAGAAAGAAGGATTCTCAAAGATATTAACTAGGAACTACAATCCTGTTTCCATTTGGGGGTCTCTATACTGTGCAACACAATTGTGGTGTCTGCCCTTTATTTCAGTTAAGTGTCAAAACTCTCACCCGATCAGCAGCGAGCGCCATCATGACCCCTCCGGCCCCCGCGTTCCCCTGCAGGACTGAAACCGTCACCTTATTCCGCAACCGGAATATCGCCTTCACCACGTCATCGATGGCTGTGATGTTAGCCCACGATTCGGCAGCAGCACATTCGGAGCTCTCGATCACATTCAAGTGGATTCCGTTGCTAAAGAAGTTGTACCTGAATAGAATAAAAAGTTAATTAAGTTGACAAGTTGGTGGTCGATAAGTTAATAAAATTGACATGATAGTGGTCGATAAGTTAATGAAGTTGACAAGTTAGTGGTTGATAAGTTTAAGTTGATAAGTTATTAAAGGTGATAAGTTGATAAGTTAATAAAGTTGATGAGTTAGTTGATGAGTTAATGAAGTTGACAAGTTAGTGGTCAATAAGTTAATTAAGTTGATAAGTTAATTGATAAGTTAACAAAGTTGATAACTTAGTTGATAAGTTAATAATGTTGATATGTTAGTTGATAGATTTATAAAGTTGATAAGTTATTTGATAAGTTAATAAAGTTGATAGGTTAGTTGATAAGTTAAGTTGATAGCTTAGTTGATAAGTTAATAAACTCGACAAGTTAGTTAATAAGTTAATAAACTTGATTAAGTAGTGGTCGATAAGTTAATAAAGTTGATGATAAGTTAGCACTTACCCGCCCATCAGGGCGACAACAGAGCATTCCGGATCCTTGTCCAAGCCCAACAGAACCTGCTCAAGCCGCTTGCACTGTTCCGTGCTCATCGCGCCGTTGTAAAAGTCGAAGTGCACGTAGCAGACGCCGTCTTGGCACGTCGTCCAGATGTCTTGAAACGTCTTGGGCCTGGCGCCGTAAGGAACGGGGGCGGAGTGGCTGATGGGAAGGGGAGGGAGGTCGGCAGAAGGAAGGACAGACGTGGCGGGAAGCTTCAGACTGGTTTTCTTGGGGGAAGCCTGCTAAGAGAAGGGTGTGTTGTTACCAGAGTTATCAACCAAGGATTGAGTTATTCAAGAATTCATTCTTTCCTACCACTATCGCAGAGTGGAACTTTCTGTCACCAAGTACAGTAGGGGCATTGTCATTAGATAGCTTTAAACAATGTTTAGAGTAAGAAGTTCAAGGGTTATCTGTATTGGTACAGCCAGTATAACCGCCCTTCAGTGTGACACACCAGCTTAACACACGGTTAGGTGTAACAAGTCGATCGGTGTAATGTAGCCAGCTGCCGCCG